AACATCAGAGGTCAGTTAGGCTAACTCCATTTTCATTAGCCTAGGGGAAAAAAGCTTTACCCAATACCACATCATTAAATAACAGAGCCAATGAAGACACAGAGCGCCATGACACCTGCACCAAAAATCTTATTTCAGTGCACTGCGCTGAGATTGTGTTAAGCATTCACTATTAGATGCTTGAAAACTTATTTTCACTCTGTTAGCTTCTATTCCTGAAGCTCTTCTGTATTGCCAAATAAGACCTGCATTACTGTAACTTAATACAATGGGATAAAGGGTAAGAAGATGAACTCACTGTCTTACAGATTTTCTTGGGGCCACTCCAACTCATTGTGCCTGAAAAACCACCTTTCTTTTCAGGGAAAGAACCTGAAGGCATTGCTGGGTCCAGGCACACATGGCCGTTTCATGGTGTCAGAACGAGGTGCCCCATAGAACATGTCCTGTTAAACCTCTTTAAATACCTAGCTCTGTCAAAGTGGAAAGAGAAGACAAAAAACACAAGGATGAATTAGTTCATTAACCTTTTATTTTTAATGAAGTCCTTTTTTAGATGTATATTGGAAAAGGGAGGGTGGGATAGAGCCTATTTGAAATATTTCTAAGCAAAATACTGGAGAAAATAAAAATTCCCCAATGGTATCAAGATTCACCCAGGGCCAAGGATATAGCTCAGCGGCACGAGTGCCTGCCTGGCGAGCACAAGGTTCTGAGTTCGATTCCCACTACCAAAAAAAATATTCACCCAAAAACCCAGTACTCTTGTGAGCTTCCAATGTTTTGATTAACTATCCATAAGGCAAATGTTAATCATAAGGTCTCAGATTGAAGGGAAATTTTTAATCAGCTGAGCAATATCTTTTTCTTTAATGCCAGCCTTCAAGTGCACATAATTTAAGTTTTATTCATTAAAAATGCATTAAATCAGATATCAGTTCACCTTGCTTCTCTTTAGCATTTTCCTTCATTCCAGGTTGATTTCTTTTTTTCCAAAATGATTCTCAATCTTTTTTCTTCCAAACTCACTTGGAATGACTCATTGCTACACTAATTCTGAATAATGAAAATATTCTTCTTCATACTGACAGTCTTCTCATTAGAGTCAGGTTTAAATACATTTGCACCAATTTCTGTACTGCTGGGTTTCAACAGCAGTGTGTCGATATAAACTAAGACTGCTCCAAATGAATAAATAAACAATATATGTTGTTTCCCAAATTTAAGTGACAGAACTCCACTCCTTTCCACCTGGATCTATCCACCACTACACCAGTCTGAATTTGGAGGATCGTTACAGTATAAAATTATTTTGTATATGCCAAAGCCTTTGATTCAAAGTTTAAGATATAATATAAATACCAATAAACATTTATTTATTCAGCAGTGTTACTTAATAAGTGAAAATATACCATTATCCTATTGCCTAATGATGAGTGAAGTATATACAAAAAAAGGCAAGTTCCGTGCACACTGTCTCTTTTGAAATGCCTCACTACCCAGAAGAATATTATTCAAAACTTACTGAATAAAAATGAATGATGTGTTAAAAAGAGTGTAACCCCTTTGGTAAATCCACATAGTCAGTGGACATCCTTCGAGGTTTCCTTCTGTGATCCGGAGTGTACATGGACCAAGGAGATTTTTAAATCATAGGCTATATTTATCCACTATCAACAAAATAGGGAAATGGGGATAAACAGAGTCTTTTCCTTTCCTCCCTATAATTTCCTCTGCTGCTAATTTTATAGCAATCAAGTTTCAACTAGTTAATCAAATGTCTTTTGTGTGGCAGGTGCCAGGGTGCTTGTTTGCATTAGTGTACCAAAGGCCATATTTAGAGACTTGGCCTTTCACTTAACTGGCTATGAGCGTAGTTTTAAGCCATTAAATGTGTGTATTTAAACTCAGCATTTATTTTTACATCTTCTTATCCAAATAATCAGGATGTGGTTATCTGTTAGATGATACATTATGACTTTTTTTCTGATATACACCCATGCACAAAAATATACGTCTCAGACTAGTCGTCAATATTATAAACATCCATCATCCTGAGCCCTTTACAGGATTTCAGAGATGAAGAGAACTCTGGTTAGTAAAATGTACATAAAAATAGTTAAAGGAAATCCACATGGAAAGGTTTATAAAGTTAGGTGAATTCACACTTTGTAACCTATTTTTAACATAATTAAAAATGAGGAAGGAAAATATTGCAATTGTAGTTTATCTTCGATTAAATGAGGGGTTTTTCTAAAAGAAGGTACATAAAACATATGAGATAATTTTTTTAAATGCAGCTATGTTCTTAATATATCTTCCTTTATGTGTAGGAAAGCCAAAAAAACATGAGCAAAATCAAGAGAAAAATATGATTAAGTAGCTGACTTTCTAAAGGATGGTGAAGGCAATGTATGGTTGGTATCTTCAGAAAATAACTATCAAATTTGTCCCTTTTATTTGTCTATTTTCTTAATTTAGTAACATCATTCATTATTTTCTGGTACTTACAGAAAAGCTCAAATTAAATATCAATTTGACAAAAGAGAACAGACAGAGAATTTATTACTCCCTTCCAGAAAACTGTGAAATCCAGAGAAGTAGCTAGTAATTAGCACTATGTCACAAAATTCCAAAATAGAGTAACTGATGCCATAATGACATCGTGAACAATAGTTTAAGCTAGATTATTTGAGTAGTTATATTTCATCAAATAAATGTTATAGATCATATATATAAAATATTTCAATCTCTACTTTGTCTTAATCAGCTTACTTTACAGTGATGTTACTCTGTATGAAATATTTTATTCATAGTCTAGCCAATAACATTTGTTATTAAGATGTACACTATGGTTTTACAGTACAGTAATAATTTCTGAAGTGTCATAAAGAAAATCTTGATCATACCCAAAAGTATGTAGTTATTAAGGATATATTTAGTAAAACCCCATAAATGTCTCTTCATTTGCACATTCCAAATACTACATGAAATAAAGGGATTATGCATAAATCAACTAAATCATCTCAAAACTCTTCCTTTATGTGAAAGAGTTAAATAAGGAAATAAGGAATTTAAATTCAAATAAGGAAAATGAAATTCAAATGGGTTATATGATACGTATCCAAGGTCATGATAATAATAAAGCAAAATGGGACTCAAACCTATTCTTCAAATTCCACCTTAGCATTCAAATTCTCTTTGTCCCCAAACAATTTGTCACATGATTGATTTTTTAAGGCAATGGAAGCTCTCTGAGGTGTTCATTCATAAGCAATGACGGTTAGGGCTATTTATTCAGTGGCATGCTTTGTATTCAAAATGGCTCTGTTCTAGCCTATATTTGTGGTCTTCCCTCAGTAGGGCAATACCCCCTTATGACTGCAGGATTAAGAGGACCAATAGTCAACGTGATAGCCAGAAAACCTGATATAAAACATAGATGAGACTTAGCTGGTGACACGGTGATGTCATTTTAATATTAAAAAACCGAATTCAGAAATGAGACACCTTTGTGCTTATTACTTAATATAAACAAATATAATGTTTTCTGAAAAAAATACAACTACACATTAAAAACTAAGTATTTATGGTTCCTACATAATCTTATTTGTTTTTTTCCACCCTTGGAAGCAACCATAATTATTAATTGGGTTTCAATGGCTTATATTTTAATTACATGTATATATTTCAAAATGCATCGAATTGCTTAAGCAAATTGTTTTATGTCATATGTACTGTTCTGACATTCCCTATGCCCATGGCTTTAATTGAAAACCATGCATTTAGATACACATACATTTAAGTCATTTGTTTTAACAGTAAGCACACATATAGTGAAGTCATCTACTTTTAGTCCATAGCTTGAATGCATTAATAAATGCATTTTCTCTTGAATGGAGCACATAGACTGATTATAAGTTTCTACCACTAAGAGCAATGGAGAGTTTTCAGATACATATCTTCTTACTAAGATGTAGGAGTTTCTCGAGAATGTACAGTCGAAGTGAAATAAATCTGTCATAGGAAGGATGTGACCATTTGAAATATTTCTTTTTCTTGCCAGTGTTCTCCAGATAGTTGGATTCATTTCCAACTCTGCCAGAACTTTTTGCAGTTTTTTGTTTCCTTGTACCATCCTAACACTTGCTATAGTGACTTTAATTTTTTCTTGATCTGGTGTATGTAAAATATCACTTCTGTTTGTATTTACATTAAATAAGTTGCATGCATCAGGAAGTGTTTATTTTACATTAAACTATCTCCTTTTCAATGAAATTTACATTCAGATTAGACCTATTTTTACTGTCTATTTTAAAATTTTAGTAATAAGATTTATTTACATTTTCCAGGTACTAATTTTGGTTTTGTACATATATTGAAAAAACCTTTATTTGTGCCATTTGTCTTTAAATTTTATTTATTGTATCTTGTCATACAGAATTTTTAAATTTTTATATACTGAAGTTTGATAATTTTCTATAAGATGCCATCCTTGTAAATCTTGTTTAAGAAATCCAGACATAACACAAGAGTATAAAGCTGTTCTCCTGTTGAATGTGGGGTATTTTGAAATTTTGAATTTACATTATTTTAGATCTACCACCTTCTTTCTGCTTTAGGCTCCATTTAGCATTATTCTTTATATCATGATCATTTTATACATTTTCAGTTAAGTGCATGACCTGGTAATCTCTGCATTAGGTGAAGAATAAAGTTATACGGACTGAATATCTCAGATGCTAGATTACTTTGAATTAAATTATTATTATATCTGTACAAATCCAACCTAAGTCTCTATGGAAATGTGACCTTTACAGATCACATTCTGAGAGCTTGGCAGCTTCTACTGAGTATTATTTAAATTGACATCAGTGCATTCCCAAAGAAGTGAATCATTTAACTTATTACTTTCCTCTAGTAAGCTTTTAAGGAACTCTTATTTTCTATGCGTATCTTTTAAACTAATGAATGCTAACACTGATGTATGTGACCCTCAGATGCTGGACTGGAGACTGCCAGGTGCACACATCATTCTGGCCGTGACGTTGGTGCTCTGGAGCTCAGGAAAAGTTCTCTCAGTGGATGTAACAACCGAGGTGATAAAAACCAGCTTACAGTGCCATGTCTTTATTTTTAAAAATATAAGCCATTTCTATTACAGTCATAAGGAGGTGTCCCTGGCACAAAGGACAATGATTTGATAATGAAATGTAGGTATAAACACCTAAAGACATAGGTATTTTTCTATTATGTTATTTTTATTCCCAGCAGTATTCAAGGTTGAAACCTTAAAGTGCAAACAGCGATATTATTGATCTTCTCAGTGTATTCAGAACAAGTCACTTATGTACATGTTAACAGACATGAAATGCTAACAAAGATTTGTATTCTTCAAACAGAAAAGTATTGAGAGATATTTTTTAATGATTTCAACCACACTTTCATTCATTCAATTGCATAAATATTAAGTACTGTATGTGAAATTTTAAGTTGTTTGCATGCCAAATTTTGTGTACCTTTAGGCAAAGTTTTTAATATAGTACAAATGTCTTCTAGTTACCCTGACTAAACCATGAAGAAAAATATACGAGGACATTTCCACACAGAGAAAAGTTCCTTTGGCTTATTTTGATCTTATTAAAAACATATAATCTCAGTACTTCTTAAATAACATAAAGCGAGAGTCAGAAAAGCATTTTCCAAAAGAATAACTTCTGTGTGAATTCTATGACTTTTTCCCCAGAAGATTAAACATATATTTAAAAAGAAACAAAACTATTTGTGTAATGTGTTAATTAGAAGAGTAAAAGCATATTTTGGAAGATGCTTTGAGAAATCAAAGATCTTTGCCCTTTAAAGTTTGTGTCCTGAACTTCGGGGTTTCTTTCTCGTTATTGGCATCTTTCCTTCTCCAATTTCTATGTTGGGACCAACCTTGTGGCAGTTGGAAGAATGTGATTAAATGAAGGAAAGGAAAATAATCTCCTACAGCTAAAATTTCCTTCTATAAGGGGAGCGTTTTCAGTTGCATAGAAAAGACAGTGTTTCCAGGGTTACACAATAACTCAGGATTGTTAATAGGAGCAAGGTTTTCTAATGCTATACTCGGGCCTAAGGAGGGGCAAATACTTCACAAACTGGAAACTCGAGGCTGGGGATTTAGCTCAGCGGCACAGCGCCTACCTGGCAAGCTCAAGGTAGTGAGTTCGATTCCCGGTACCCGAAAACAAACAAACAAACAAAAAGCTGGACACTCAGATGACTTGTGTCAAGTACAAAGTGACAATTTATGTACTAAGTAAACATGCAAAAATTATGCCTGGGAAAGTAGTTGTTGGGATCACTCCAATGCACTATAGATGTTCATGAAGATTTATTAATATATCACATGGATGGAGGTGTTACGTTCACTGCCAACAGAAATTGATTTTGTTCATTTTTTTAATCTCGGGGCTGGGAATTTAGCTCAGTGGCACAGCGCCTGCCTGGCAAGTGCAAGGTCATGAGTTCAATTCCCGGTACTGGAAAAAAAAAAAAAAAGAAAGAAAGAAAAAACATTTTTTTAATCTCCCAAGGTTTATACAGAACCTGATGGACAGTGGACTTTTAGTGGCTTGTATCAAATAATGAATGAGTGGTTAACAGGAAATAGGAAAATACAATGAAGCTTGTGGTTTTTTTGGTTTTTGTTGTTGTTTGTTTGTTTTTTTCAGAATTTATTCAATAATGTGAGTGCTAACTATCAACAAAACGCTGGGGTAGCCATAAAGCAAATAAAAGATTAATCAGATACTCATTGCCCTAATATTATTTATAATCTAATAAGGTATGCAAATGTATTATAACCAATCAAATATAAGGTAAAATATAATAAATGCTTTGATGAAATAGGTATAGAAAAAGGAATGATAAGAAAGGATGCAGTTGTTACCAGGACAGATCTGAAAGAATGATCAGTATTAAATTTTAGAGATAAGTCTGGAATTTTCTTTTGTTTTGTTTTCTGTTGAATTTATTCTACTTTTGTGTGGTTAATCCTCTCCACCCGCTTCCAAAAAATGCTTAGATTTTCCTCTGAAACATAATTCCATCAGAAATTATAAAAGGTTACACAGTGGTCATCTCAGGCAAAGGTAGAAAATGCCTGTTGTAGCTGACTGTACGTATTTGATGGTTTTTGTCTAAATAATTGGAATCACCTTTCTCTGCCCTATAGGCCTTTGATTCTGGAGTCATAGGTGCACAATCACCACCCACAGTTAGGGAAGAGAAATCAGCCACTGACCTGACAGCAAAACTTTTGCTTCTTGATGAACTGGTTTCCTTGGAGAATGATGTGATGGAGACAAAGAAGAAAAGGAGCTTCTCCGGCTTTGGCTCTCCCATAGACAGACTGTCAGCTGGCTCTGTAGATCATAAAAGTAAACAGAGGTAAGTGAACTTTGGAGAAGGAAAGTTTTTACTCTCTAGTTCTTTCATTATGGTTTCTAAATCAGATAATTCCAAATTTAAAAACTACAGTGAAAAACTTATATGTAAACAGGTCTGCCAGGGTGTGAGCTAAATTCCAGCTTTCATAGAGTGATTTGCAAGTGATTATTCAAGGTGCAAAATGACTGTGACAGTATGCATTAATCATTTTTCATAATATATCCTAAAGAAGAGCCTCCTGCATTCAGATGTATGATGGCTATCTTAAGACACTGCTGCATTTGGGACGTGGGAGGGAATATGTACACAATGGAATAAATAATCAAATCACTTGGGTTTCCTGTTTAATGGTTACAACTAGAATGCCGTTTTTGTACATGTTTGTAGTACATAATGTTTACATCCCTTGTGTGGAGTTGCTACTTGTACATAAGACCTTCCCATTCCTTTGTTTCATCTCTTATCCCATCTCTTCCTCCTTCCACCATCTTGATCCCATTCCTCTGGCAACCAAGTGACTGGACAAATTAACATTGTAGAACTTAGTTTTAAGCACTGCCTTTAAAACTAAAGGTGAGTGATTGTTGTAAGGAAGAGAATAATGTGATTAGTATATGACACAGTTACATGCTATGGTAACTGAGAATATGGATGCAACACAATGATGAAATGTTCAAGGACAAGGGTGAGAGCATGAAAAATTTAGAATGAATTTTTATATTGCTTTAGGGTCATAAGCTGGGTAGCAAAAGATATTACAAGTAGATGCATGGGGACATAAAAAAATGAAAAATGACAGATTTAATTTAATGAATTTTATACTAACAGAAAAAGAAAGCTGAAAAGAGACTGTCCTATAAAAGTATCCACACAAATATAACTATAAAAATATTTACAACTTTCCTATAAAAAGAGACCACAAAAAAGAAACTAGTGAAAACCTTTATATAATTAAAAATAACATCTAAAATGTGAATTAAAAAACAGTATCAAATAAAAATGGGCAAGTAGAGAATGATGGTGACACATTATCTCAGCACTCTAGGAGGCTGGGACAAGAGGAAAAAAATTAAGCCTGGACAACTTAAGAATTTACTAAATCCTGTCTCAAAACTTAAAAAGAATAAATAAAGAACAACTGCAGATATAGGTCAGTGTAAAGATCCTGGTTCCAGTTCCCAGTACCACAGGGGAAAAAAATCTCTCTATATACAAATGAATATAAGTTGTGTATTAAAATATCATGTTTTCGTATTAAACTGGTAAAGGAAAATCCAATGGTTTTCCAAACTTAAGAGATGTAACTTACACTAAAGCAATTTAGAAAGGGTGACAATAAAACAATGGGCAAATTAAAACTATACCAGGAAAAAATATAAATAAATAAATGAAAATAGTGTGACAAGATTTATGAACAAAAAAAAAAAAACGGAAGGAAGCATAGGAAATAGAAAAAAATAGAATATGTAACTCTTTTAAAATCTAAGGCAGATTATTCATTCAATATTCATAAATTTACACAAAATAGCCCATAAAATCATGTTATAACTTTTTTGAAATTTGAAGCATAATAATGAAAGATATAACTACATTTCAAGCAAATATAGAGCATTCATAATTAACTTTATTTAAGGTAACAAAAACATAAAATTCTGATGAATAGTTATATCACAAATACATCCACAAATACATCCAAATACATTTGAAATGTAAAAACACTACCAGTTTGTAAAATAAGAAAACCAAAAGGCACCCTTAACTAAAAGTATAAATTATATCAATTATGAGCTATTTAGCCAAAGAAGAACTCAAAATGAAAGTACACACTTTTTGGAAAATATAATATTATGGGTATATAAAGCAAATATGAGATGAAAATCAGCATCTGCTAATAAAAGTAATTCAAACATTGCACCAAGAAGTCTAGAAAGAATAGCAAAATGTACCAAGAAAAACAAGGAAGAAGAAAGCAGAGAGTAGAAATTAGAAATAATGAAAACTGAAATCAATACAGTTGTATAGAATAGTATAAGATGTAACAAATATACACAAAAGTGATTTCTTATGTTAACAAAAATACAAAGTAAACTACTTCAATGTTTTTAAGTAGAAAGCAGATTCATGAAATTAGAAATGACAAAATAGAAATTATAAAGTAGAAAAAACTTTTTAAAAAATAAGAAACTATTTGTTCAATTCTTTATAAATTAGTTGAAGACTAACAGAAATGGATACATTTTGAAAAAAACACACACACAACTTATAAAAATTGACCCCCAACACAGTCCTACTACAATTTTTTTAAAATTTGAAACAGCTTCCTAATAAAAAAGTCCTCTGTCCAGAAATTTTCACAGGAGAATTCTATCAAATCTTAAGGTAGCAGATAATACTAAAATTAATTTACCTTTTCAGAGCACAATTATAAAACAATTCAAATTTATTTCTTGAACAAGTATAATTTTGAGTCCCAAATCACAATATTATATTTTAAAATGAAAATTTAGACTTCTCTAATATGAATATCAATGTAAAAATCATAGAGAGATCTTAATGAAGAAAATTCAACATTTCAAACACATAATAAATCTTGACCAAGTGGAACGTATTCCAGAAAAGAGAGATTCAAAATTCTAAATTTCTTTCATATAATCCATCATACTAATAGAACAATAAATTAAAAGTCTATGATTATATAGAGATGATAGAAAAATATTTAACAAAATCTAATATTTTTCCATATCTTGAAAAAAGTAACACTATAAGGCACGATAGATACTTTCTTAAAATGTGTGTGTGTGTACCTCAAAAAACTGTGTCTTACGTCAGTTATACTGATTTTATTAAACTAAAGAACAAGAAAATAGTGCTCATTATTTCTGATACAAATTAAAAATTCCTGTATATAAGAGAAAATATTCAGAGTTATACAATTAGAAAAGAAAAGTTAAAACTGTAAACCTATGTTTATTCACAAATGACTTCGTAAACCAAGATAAGTAAAAAATTACTAAAATGCAACCCTTTTAATAGAAATAATGACAGAAACAAGCATGAAGAAGTTAATATAGCTCTTCCACCTACGGATATAAATGAGACAATCTGCATAAAAGAAGATTACATTTACAAAAGAATGATACAGTGCTCATCTAGCATCTGAGAGACCAAAGTTTTCATTCTCAGCACCACAAAACAAAAAAGAAGAAAGAAAACACAGAAAAGAAAAATCATAGGCATAAAGCTAAACAAACAATCTTCAAAGAACCTATAAGCGAAACTATGAAAGTAATACTCAAATACAAAAAAGTAGATATAAACAAATGGAACATATACAACAAAGGCACATACTACCTTCTTGGGTCAAAACACTCAAAGCAGAATGATGTAAGCTCCCTGAGTTAAATTACAAATTAACACAATTCCAATTAAAAATCTATTAGATTTTTGGGAGCTAAGCAATTTAATCATAAAGTTAAAAAAATAAAAGCTAGTATAGCCAGGAAACCCCCATAAAATAAGAAAGAAGATACTTACCAGGTCTTCTTTTTTTTTTTTTTTTTTTTTGGTTTTTCTCCGGTACCAGGAACCAAACTCATGACCTTGCGCTTGACAGGCAGGCGCTTTGCCACTGAGCTAAATCCCCAGCCCCCAGGTCTTCTTAAATAATGTACAGTCTTTCTTTACAGTAATGCACTATCAGCCCCTGAGTACACAAATAAATAAATAAATTAGAAATTAAAGAAATAGACCAAATTATATATACAGAGTTGCTATGATAAGGGGTGGAAATATAGCTCATTGTAAAGTGCCATCATGTGAGAAGCATTGGGACATATATGATATGTAATATATTACATATTTTATATCATATATAACACATATTAGGTAAAGCACATTTATATATTATATAAATATAATATATATACATTTGATAATATAAACTCTCAATGAATGAAGGATATATTTTAAATAAATGATAAATTGACTCAGTCTCAAATTACATATCATGATAAATTTTAAATGAACCAGAGATTTAACTGAAGAATATAAACAAATTCTTATAGGAACTAGAATAAAACATTGCTAAAGATTTATATAGACAAAGAATAGAAAAACTTCCAATTTTGAAGCCAAAGCTTGAAAGTTCCAGGAAAAAAATAAGAAAAAGACCCACTTTATTACATATTTTTTAAACATTTCCATGGCAAAGAATACCACAAACAGGATAATTTGGGAAAATCATTTGCAATTTATATCAAATGTTTGATAGTTTTAATATATGAAGAAATCTTAAAAATAAAGAAGGCAGATAACATTCCTACAGAGCAAAAGGGTTAAAAAAAAAAACAACAGTGAGCAGTTCATGAAGAAAAAAAATACAAATTACCCATAACCTTGTGAAAGGATACAAGTCATTGTCATTCTAAGAAAAATACCCTTTTCATTGAAATAGAATTTCTCACCTATTAGAATGGCAAAAGATCATTTAAAAAATAGTGAGGTTCTCAGAAAAAGGAAATCCCATGCACTGATGATTGGACAAATGGGAACCCACTCAGAGGTGAATATGGCAATATCCAATAAATCATATAAGTGCTTCTCTTTTGGTCCAATATTGCTCCTGCTCCTTTTGAAATCTCCCAAAGATACATTAGCAAAAGTGGGTTGTAGTTTGGGGGAAAAATATATACAAGTTCATCATATTAGAACTGCTTGTAACAACAAAATATGCAAACATTGATCAAAAGAGCATAGTTTATCTCAGTTCCTTAAAGAGAAAGATTTGTTATTATCTGTTTCTTTTTGTATAAGAATCTTTTTGGCTTATGAGAAACCACTTTGAGGATAAAAATATGCAGTGTAACAATTATTGTTATTCTCCTATTCTTTGCTTATGAAATCTTGTTTTATTTTTTCTTTTTTGCCTTTTTTAATTTTAAAGAGAATAGTAAAAAAAAAAAAAAAAAGACCAATAGCAAAATACAAACAAAGCAAAGACT